AGAGAGAGAGAGAGAGAGAGAGAGAGACCACTTTCCAGGAAGCATACAGGGTGAGTCCGGACTTCTTCCTGTTCCAGAAAGCGAGGAAGTGTTCAAAACGGGATGGGGGAGCATGGAAGGCATGGATGGAAGAGTCAACTCGAAGGGGCCCCCACTGGCCAAATTTGGGACAAGGTGACTTTCAAAATGATGCCCATACGTCACTGCCCTTACAACTTCCAGGCAAAGCCAGTGCCCGCAAATCCCATCAAAGAATAATAATAATAAAGAAGCCATGTGTTCATATCAATAAATGTTTTCGATCTTAAGCAGAGGAAGAAAAGCTCTTCTCTACTGGAAAACGTAGAATAAATGATAAAAACAGAAAATCACCGTTTTATCACCGACTTCAGTAAGAACCAGTAAAAGACACTAAACGCACTGGGTAAAGATTCACAGGGAGTGATAAAAGGTGACGTCTGGGAGGCTCCCCTTAACCACGTTGTTAAACTTATCCTCACTAACAAGAGTACAGCTGACATCATGTGGTGTGACCCGCTTCCTGCCTGATGGGACCCCCTGTGGAGGAGCACCCACCTGGGGAGCACTCCCCCCCCCACCCCCTATAACCTGAGCCGCATCATGAAGACACGCTAGGCACAACCCAACGGGGTGGGGGGCGGGGGGCATTCTGCCGAACAGCCGGCCCTGATTCTTCAAAACGTCAATATCAGGGTGCCCGGGGGGGCTCAGTCAATCGAGCGTCTGACTCTTGAATTTGGCTCAGTTCATGATAATCACATCAAGGTTATGTAGAAGAATGCCTCCTGTTCTTTTTTTAAAATGTTTTATTTATTGTTGCAAGCGAGAGCGAGTGTGAGTGCGGAGGGGCAGAGAGAGAGGGAGACGCAGAATCCGAAGCAGGCTCCAGGCTCTGAGCTGTCAGCACAGAGCCCGATGCTTGAACCCACAAACTGTGAGATCATGACCTGAGCCGAAGTCGGACGCTTAACCGACGAGCCACCCAGGCGCCCCTGAATGCCTTCCATTCTTTTTTTTTTTTT